GCCAGTGCGCGCCGTCGCCGCGACGCGGCGAGCGCGTCGGCCGGAGCCGCTTCTCGCGGTTAAGTTTCGCTTAGGCGCCTATATAAGACGCCGCGCGAGACCACTCAAGGCTTTTATGCCTCTTGCCTGTTGCCAGCTTGACTGCGCATCAGGTATTCTTTTACGCTCCAGCTATCTACATATTGCCTTTTTGAGTGTGCCAGCACCTTGGGCATTTGCCTCACCAGAGGTGTACACTTGCATATCTGCATCGATCTTCACTGCCTTAAGAGTGTCGTAGACACGTTGGCATTTGTGTTTAGAGTTCGGCAACTCTACACAACTCTCCGCAGCTCCTTAGAGTACGTTTGCACGTTGGGCTAACGCCTCTAGAGTGTCCGAGGATACATTGGCATCTGTGGTACGCAGTGTATGATAACTCCACAGATCTCCACCTTCTCAATACGATCGAGAATTGAGAGAAGGCTTCGCGCGATCTCGTCGGATTACCTGCACGCCTCCACTGCGGTGGACGTCTCGCTTCGCGACATTTCCGTATTACATACCGGGTATTAGCGCCAACAGAACTTAGTACAATTGAGCTCACGACTCCGCGCGAGTCGTAGTTGTAATCAAGATCTCTGCGGCCAGGGACGCAGCATATACACGCGAGCCACGCTCGCATTTACGTCCGCCTAGGACTTAGCAGCTGCCAGGGACGCAGCCTATACACGCGAATCCAACTCGCCTTCACGTCCGAATCGGACTTAGTCAGGGACGCAGCTCACGCGAGCCGAGCTCGCTAGTGCTACGCTGCCAGGACCGCAGCGCTAACGCAAACCAGGTTTGGTACAAGTCTACTCACGACTTAACCGATCGTCGCATCCGCGACTCAACACGCGAGGACTCTTCGCTTCTCACTGCGACGAGACTTAGCAATCGTCACGCACACGGTACTATTAACGCAGGTTTACAGTGACCTGCACGTCACCGTCAGGCTTCAACACAGCCGCGTCCGCGATTCAATGTTGCACTTGCGGGCTATTCCTACAAACCATCGCAGGTGCCGCGTGCGCGACTGATAAAGACGACTTCAGCTCGTCTGACTATCATACCGGATTCAGCCTCTGTTTCCTCGCCAGCCAGAGCTGAATCTCATCGGACCAGTTCCGACACTCACGAAAGGAGACGGACTAGTGTCTCCATTCTCCGAGTGACTATCATCCTCCGAAAGGGGGATTCACTTCCAGCGCAGAGGCGCCGGGCAATTCCACGCGTGTCCTTCACTGGGCCACGCCGTGCTCTTATGCACAGAGCACTATCGCACTTTCCTCACACCATCTGACGAGGCTCCTGAATAGGAGAGCACAACATACTCACACAACTTAAGATAGCAGTCGACGGACGTACGACGGC